CCTCCATGTTGCATCGAGAGCACTTAACCGGTCGGGTGTTCAGCGACCTGTTGTTTATTCGTCTAGTGCATGGTCTGCCACGTCTTTTTTTGGTGAGAGGAGGCTTCAACACTCGCTCTTCTGGCGGTACAAAGCGCTTCTCGTAATCTGGGATGGGATAGATGATCGGTGCATAGCTTGCTCTGAACGCAACAACAGTCATGTACCAATCGCAATATTGATAAATTTCTCGTCCCATCCATGTAATTGCAGCGCACGCATGTTTGCAGGGAATGCGGGTGATGTCCCAGGACCTGCAAGAACAAGTCCGATTCTTCAAATCTACGCGGCAAGTTTTATTGGACTCGACCTCCACAATATCTTCCGTCGAATGTTTAATCGCCAAGCAGCTACCATGCTGAATGTTATCACTCAGCACCAACTCCGCTTCCGGGCATAGGTATCCAGACCATTTCTGACCCAATAGCCTCCTTTCATGCATGCGCTCCATTATTTGCTTCCGTATGGTCTCAACCAAAGGTAAGATTCGCAACAATCGTGCCTTTCTTATCCAGCTGTTGAAGGACTCAGCAACGTTTGAAGTAACATGGCCATACCTTAACAACAAAGCACTAACAATAACAATAATTCCTTAAACTAAACATTAAAGGCCTAACCTTAACAACAAATATCCTAAACTTAACAGCAAAACCCTAGCAGAATAACTCTAACCATAACAATAAAAATCTAACCTTAACAGAAAACTGTAGGATAACTCTAACCTTAACAACTATAACAGTGCTGTAACAAAATAACGTCGGGACCAAGCTATCTTACCTTATACCAGGAAAATGCGCGTTTGCCCATCTCTCCGGGGAGTATTCCATTACAGTGACATAAGCCCTGTGATCGATCGCTGCCAATTCTTTCATGTCATTATCCCATTCAGATATTGTGAACTTATAAGCCGCAGATTGTAACAGCTCGCCCAACGTAGTCGCGATATTTGCCTTGTGCCCAAAATCCTTCATCTTTTTTTTGAAATTCTCGACTAGATGCAGAACACACCTTGAATGGAATGCATCTGGAAAGAATTCCTCGACTGCTGCCCTGATACCCTTGTCGGCGTCTGAAATCATTACCAGTCGATGTGGAGGTTGGTAAGGATTTTCCCTATCATACAGTAACGTCCATAATCCTTGTAAGAACCATTTCCAGTTAACCTCATTCTCTTGGTCGCATACGCAATAAGCTAGGGGAAATATTCCCTGGTTGCCGTCATACCCAGTAGCGCTAAGTAGTATGCCTCTGTAACGATCTTTAATAAATGTTCCATCCAAAAACAATAGAGGCCTACACCCAGCAATGAACCCTTCAATACAGGCATTATAACTAATGAACAGTCGCCTGAACCTCCCGTCATCAGCATCAATAACAACACGACTCCCTGGATTAGTTGCATGCACCATGGATTCATACCTGCATGAATATAACAACAAAGCAGTACATTTAGCGAAGGATTCATAACCATAACAAATGATCTTCAAACTTCACGACCAACACGTATACTTAACGACGAACCAATAACTTTAACAACTAATACGTATAGTTAGCAACCAACACGTACACTTAACGTCGAACCGCCAACTTTAACAACTACTACGTATAGTTAGCAACCAAAAGGTAAGAGTGATTTCAGAAGAATAAAAAAGATAAGGACCATCTCAGTGAATCGTAAGCCTCATCATCGTCACCGAACAGGTCCTGTTGAGCTGTCTCCTTGCTCCACCACGCTTTACTGTAGTTAATCTTGATGCCAAAATTAGAGAGCATGTCGTTCTTGATATCGACCGCACGAAGATCTGGCCTAACCTTCAAAACAGCTTGTATTTGGCTAGCAATGAACTTCCTTGATGCCCTTGAGTTGCCAGCATTTGCTCCATGTTGACCGCAGGTGTGGGTAGACTCGAAATTCTTTATGGACATGATAGACGAATTTCTGAGCGGGGAAGCAAACAACATCCAAGGGCAACCATGTGTGTGTTTGAATCGGCAATAGACTCTTATGCGTCTTTGTTCATTGTGGTAAAAATCATACTCGAACCGTTTAGCAATTGAATAGTATTGAAGTGCTAATCTAACTTCAGCAGCACTATCAAATTTCTGACCAACTTCACGTATGGAGGTGTGCCACTCAGTTGGGATCTTTGTTTGGTGATTAAGCATGTCTTCCAGCAGCATGATCGAGTCGCCGGTGGGGTTGTCATTAGGAATACGCTCATCATTACAGGTTTGGGTGAACGGGGTATCTGCGCACCGCGAATTTTCTGTCGGTATTGTCCTGAAGTATAAATCAAAATACATAGCCTTAGCAACGAACTGATAACCTTAACAACGAACTCATAAACGTAACAACCTACACATATCCTTAACAACTAACCCTTATACTTAAGGGCAGACTCGTGACCTTAACAACAAACGCATATACTTAACATCAAACACCATAACTTAGCAACCAACTAGTATACGTAACAGCCAACAAATAACTTTAACAACCAGTGCTTAACATAACCTTGACAGCCAACACATTACCAAAGCAACCAATGCATGAGGTTAACAACTAATGGCAAAACCTATCAGTGAACTCAAAAGGAAATCTGGAGTGTAATTCCTACGCAGTTTCCGGCGTAGTCTGCGTGTTCTGCGAAGTTGAGGATTCCGCAGCGGAGGTGGCATACAAATTCGCGTCTGTAAATCCATTACGCCGACAATACTCGAACATCAAATTTAAGTCGTCGTCATTGTCAATTGAAATGCTGAATTTCTTTTCCCTTTCGCATATGAACTTCAGTGAAAGAGATTGCATTGGTATTTTAAGCCTTTCCGCCACTCGATATTTCAAGCTGATTATTTCTGTATTCTCTTTGATAACGACGAATACACCGTCACCACCTTTGTTGCTTTTTGCCTTCGTTACTACGCATAGAAGAGATCCATCCGCCATTTTATTACAGGGAGTGGTTGAAGAATCGAAGAGGCTTTTATTGAGGATAATTAAGTGGAAGGAACAACTTAGCTTGAAGGGGGATATAGCTGGTGATAATATCTGATGATAATTTTGGAGGGAAATGGGAATTTCCCCCCCCAAAAAAGTCATTCATATCACCATTTAATGCCTACAGTCGAAACGATGGGTTTCCGTCGTGAGAGGGCGACGAACACATGCTGCGAAGGGTATTTTGGGCATTTCGAGCGGTGTTTAAACGGAAGGTGGCCTGGGGATTCGTTTTGGGGGCTGGAAGAAAATCGGGGGCGGTTTTGGGGGTAAAAGGCACGTTGAAAAGGTCTTGGGGGGGCAGAGCACGTTCTGTGTTGTTTTGGGGGCTGGAAGCAATTTTCCCTTTTAAATATAACATACATATTAATGGACTCTCTTCCATCGTATGACTTATATTTTCTTAATATTATTTGTCTTCTCATATCAAATTTGTATCTGCATTTATTTTCTTTTATTTGATCTGTATCCATGACATATATTTTCTATTATTTAATTTTTATTCCTATCTGATTTTAGCGGATATAGATATGATGAGATATCTCAGGAAACATATGTCTCTGCAATTGGTGAATGGATACGAATATGATATCTAATCCATTCGCTATCACTATCGAAAATTTTCCTATTTTTAAGTTTAAACAAGATTATCATTATTTATTCAAAAAAAATAGTTATTGTCATGAAAGAGGTAACCACGTGCTGACTTTTACAAAGAATGTGTAGCATAAAAGTCTTAGCCATGAATTTTTTTTTAAGAACAAATAAGATTCAGATAATAACTTGGTGAGAGCAGGTGTTAATTAATTATGTTATTATATTTAGCAAATGACATGAGGATGCATGCAACCAGAGATCAATCATTTGGTTGACCCTTGGTTACATGGGACAATGTCATAAGAGATTATTTTTTCAGAATACACAAGATTCAAATAACAAATTGGTAAGTAGGCTTAGTACATTATAATACAATTGCAAACATCAAGAGAATAGAGAATATATTGTGTGCACCAAGGTTAAATAATTCAGGCCTTATTCCTTAAATAAAGATGATGAGGAAATTACACGAGCATGCAAAACTTTTCAAAAACAAATTTGGGCCTATTTGTTTTCATGGATTTCTTTCTTGCCCACGCGTTACATGATTTTATGTTAGATTTGCTTTCCACTTTTCAAAACACAGTGTCAGAAATTTTCCACATTAAAAAATACTCAACAAATTTTACATACCCTGCACTTCAAGAAACATGCACAGGTGTGACTTGTGAGCCACAGTAGACCACCAACCCAATGCAAACAGTAAAATTTAACCAATCACAGGGTTACAAGTTAATTAATAAACCTGTTCTTCTTTAAAAAAAAAATTCCAATTGAAGCGGTTGAGAAACCCCATGGATTTATTTCTACATGATTGCTACCTTAATCAATGGGATTACGTTAATCAACATGATCTATTGTTGTCAGTGTGCATGAGATGGGCTCAATTTCATTATCAGCATCACACACTCAATTTGACTCTGAGGCTAATACAGTACTGAGTCATTTCCCAATTCCCACCAAAGCATACATTCATTAATAAAGGGGTTTTTTTTTTTTTTTTTTTTTGTTTGGGTTTCCTGTCAAAACCGACAAAAGCTGTCAGTTTTGACAGCTTTACTTGCAAAAACGCCCCAAAACATTTTGGGGCGTTTTTGCAAGTAAAGCTGCCAAAACTAACAATTTTGTCAGTTTTGACAAGAAAACAAGCGCAAAAAATGCTAACCAAACAGCCCCTATGTGAAGAAGAGCTCTCCACAAAAGCGACTTGAGTCCTGCTGTAAGTCAACTGCACAGTTCAAGAGTGTTTGACTCGCACAAAAGTCCACTCTTTTGCTTCTGTTGGCTGTTAACTTCAGGATGCATAAAATGCACCGCAATCAGAATTTGATTCAGCACATCAATTTCCAAAAGGCATTGAGAGGAGGAAGATCAACACAGCAAATTTTATTCAACACATTGAGAAACCGTACACAGTCTCCAAACCAGTTTTACAGAAAAGATACATGCTACCTGCAATTTGATCTTCAGAAATCAACTTTATTCTTATTCTTTGGTCCTAAAATGAAAATGTTACTCCGTAAAGATATACAAAGGTTCTAAAAAAAGAGTTATTGTCATGTAAGTTGCTAAAACCCCCCTCTTTTCCCCCTTTTAGATAGGAAGGGCTTGTAATGTACACTGATTTTGTGCTTTACAGGTAACACGAGATATGTTTCCTCCAAAAAAAAATCCAACACCAGAAGCTCAACACCACAGATTGTCGTTCGCCTGCTTAATATTCAACTCTGGAGCGTTTGAAGCCTCCTAATGGAACAATGTGGAATCTCATACCTACAGCAACAAATGGAGTTATAAAAGAAATATAAAGGAAAGACACGAGAGAAAAGAAAACAACGTTGTAGAAAAATGCGACGAAAATATTACAATATGTAGAAAAATCTCACATGCTATCAAAGAATTACTCCAACAATGTTAACAACGTTGTTTACAATCTAAAATACCCCGAAGGGTGAAAGCTTGAGAGAATGACTGTATGAAGTAAGGATAATTTGCAGATTTGATCCCTTACATGATTCCATGATTCAAACATGTAACCTTCTCCCCACAACGATAATCAAAAAGAACCAACGCATAATAAAAACAGAAAGGTTATACATGGTTCTGTACAGTATTAGTTTGTATTCCATTGAATATGTAGGAAAGAAAGTTGAGAGAAGCACAAAACAAGGACATCAAACAGTTAAGTCGTATGCCCAAACTAGCGCACACGCTGAAATATAGCTCACAGAATAAGTGGAAATCTGCAATACCTGAATGATCCAGTCATTTAGGATAGAA